ACCAGGCTGCTCCCTACAGGATCCCATCCCCATCCCCATCCTCATGGGCTCCCATCCCCACATCCCTGCAGGTACCAGGTTGCTCCCTGCAGGATCCCATCCCCATCCCCATCCCCACAGGCTCCCATCCCCACATCCCTGCATTGCCAGGTTGATCCCCACAGTGCCCCAGCCCCACAGGGATCATTAGCAGGAGAAGGCTGCTCCCTGCAGGATCCCATCCCCATAAGCTCCCATTGGCACATCCCCATAGGCCCTGGCTGCTCCCTACAGGATCCCATCCCCATCCCCACGGGCTCCCATCCCCACATCCCTGCAGGTACCTGGCTGCTCCCTGCAGGATCCTATCCCTATCCTCAACCCCATGGGCTCCCATCCCCACATCCCCGCAGGTACCCAGCTGCTCCCTGCAGGATCCTATCCCCATCCCCACATCGCTGCAGGTGCCAGGCTGCTTCCTGCAGGACCCCATCCCCATGGGCTCCCATCCCCACAGGCCCTGCCTGCTCCCTGCAGGATCCCGTCCCCATCCCTGTGCGCTCCCATCCCCACATCCCCGCAGGTCCCAGGCTGCTCCCTGCAGGATCCCGTCCCCATCCCTGTGTGCTGCCATCCCCACATCCCTGCAGGCACCAGACTGCTCCCCACAGGACCCCATCCCCACGGGCTCCCATCCCCACATCCCCGCAGGTTCCTGGCTGCTCCCCGCAGGATCCCATCCCCATCCCCATATCCCCACAGCTACCAGGCTGCTCCCTGCAGGAACCCCTCTCCATCCCCACATCCCTGCAGGCCCTGGCTGCTCCCCGCAGGTTCCCATCCCCATCCCCGTCCCCACATCCCAGGACCCCATCCCCATCCCCACATTCCTTCAGGTCCCAGACTGCTCCCTGCAGGACCCCATCCCCATACCTGTGCACTCCCATCCCCACATCCCCACAGGTACCCAGCTGTTCCCTGCAGGACCCCATCCCCACGAGCTCCCATCCCCACATCCCTTCAGGTCCCAGACTGCTCCCCACAGGACCCCATCCCCATCCCATCCCCATCCCCACATACCAGGACCCCATCCCCATCCCCACATCCCTTCAGGTCCCAGACTGCTCCCTGCAGGACCCCATCCCCATCCCCACATCCCTTCAGGTCCCAGACTGCTCCCCGCAGGACCCCATCCCCGTCCCCACATCCCAGCACCCCATCCCCATCCCCACATCCCTTCAGGTCCCAGACTGCTCCCCGCAGGACCCCATCCCCACATCCCTGCAGGTGCCAGGCTGCTTCCTGCAGGACCCCATCCCCACGGGCTCCCATCCCCACAGGCCCTGCCTGCTCCCTGCAGGACCCCATCCCCATCCCCATCCCTGTGTGCTCCCATCCCCACATTCCTTCAGGTCCCAGACTGCTCCCCACAGGACCCCATCCCCATCCCCATCCCCACATCCCTTCAGGTCCCAGACTGCTCCCTGCAGGACCCCATCCCCATCCCCACATCCCCACAGGTACCCAGCTGTTCCCTGCAGGACCCCATCCCCATCCCCACATCCCCATCCCCATCCCCATCCCCACATCCCAGGACCCCATCCCCATCCCCACATCCCCACAGGTACCCAGCTGTTCCCCGCAGGACCCCATCCCCATCCCCACATCCCATCCCCATCCCCATCCCCACATCCCCCTTTCCTCTCCCCATTAACCCCCCCCCGCAGGGAGCCGTGGCAGGACAAGCAGCGGCGGCTGCGGGCCCGTTTGCGCCGGATCCTCCCCATCGACGTCCACCGACGGGAGCCGCTCGGGGCCCCGCTGCAGCCGCGGGCGGACGCGCTCCTCTCCGCCTTCTGCCTGGAGGCCGTGAGCCCGGACCTCGCCGCCTTCTCCCGGGCGCTCACGAACGCGGCTTCGTTGCTGCGGCCCGGGGGCCACGCGGTGCTGCTGGGGGCCCTCGGGGAGTCCTTCTACGTGGCGGGGCCGGCGCGGCTCCCGGTGCTGCCGCTCGACGAGGGCGACGTCCGCCGGGCACTGAGCGGGGCCGGCTTCGAGCTGCGGCAGCTCCGCTCCTACGCGATGCCCCCGGCGCTGCGGACCGGGGTGGACGACGTCGAGGGCGTCTTCTTCGCCCATGCACGGAAGGCGGGGGGAGAATGAGGGGGGGGGGGGGCCGCGTGTGTCCCGTCCAGCGCTGAGCACTGAGCCCCCCAATAAAGGCTTGAGGTGCGTGGAACGGGGGGGGTTGATGGGGGGCTGCAGGGGGTTCAGGGATGGGGGAGGCTGCGATGGGGGTGAGGAGAGAGTGAGGATGGGGGGGATATGGGGTGCATGGAGGGGGGATATGGGGCACACAGGGGGGTAAAGGGTGAGAGAAATGGGGTGCAAAAGACATTGAGAGCATCATGTTCACCCATGCATGGAAGCCGGTGGAAGGATGAGGGGTCCAGTGTCCCCCCCAACACTGAGCCCCCCAATAAAGGGCTGAGGTGCGTGGTACAGGGGGGTGTTGGGGGGGGGCTGCAGGGGGGTCAGGGATGGGGGAGGCTGTGATGGGGGTGAGGAGAGAGTGAGGATGGGGGGGATATGGGGTACACAGGGGGGTAAAGGGTGAGAGAAATGGGGTGCACAAGACACTGACAGCGTCATCGTCGCCCATGCACAGAAGGTGGAGGAAGAATGAGGGGTCACAGCACCCCCCCCAGCACAGATGTGGGGTACCTGAGCCCCCCAATAAAGGGCTGAGGTGCATGGTACAGAGGGCTGTTGGGGGGGGCTGCAGGGGGGTCAGGGATGGGGGAGGCTGCAATGGGGATTAGGAGAGAGTGAGGATGGGGGGGATATGGGGCACACAGGGGGGTAAAGGGTGAGAGAAATGGGGTGCATAAGACACTGACAGCATCATCATCGCCCATGCATAGAAGGTGGAGGAAGAATAAGGGGTCACAGCACCCCCCCCCAGCACGGATGTGGGGTCCCTGAGCCCCCCCAGTAAAGGGCTGAGGTGCATGGTACAGGGGGGTGTTGGTGGGGGGCTCTGTGGGGGGGTGTCAGGGATGGGGGAGGCTGCAATAGGGATTAGGAGAGAGTGAGGATGGGGGGGATATGGGGCACACAGGGGGGTAAAGGGTGAGAGAAATGGGGTGCACAAGACATTGAGAGCATCATGTTCACCCATGCACGGAAACCGGTGGAAGGATGAGGGGTCCAGTGTCCCCCCCAACACTGAGCCCCCCCAATAAAGGCCTGAGGTGCATGGTACAGGGGGGTGTTGGGGGGGGCTGCAGGGGGGTCAGGGATGGGGGAGGCTGCAATGGGGGTTAGGAGAGAGTGAGGATGGGGGGGATATGGGGCACACAGGGGGGGTACAGGGTGAAAGAAATGGGGTGCAAAAGACATTGACAGCATCGGGTTCACCCATGCACAGAAGCTGGGGGAAGAATTAGGGGTCCAGTGTCCCCCCGAACACTGAGCCCCCCAGTAAAGGGCTGAGGTGCATGGTACAGGGGGGTGTTGGGGGGGGCTGCAGGGGGGTCAGGGATGTGGGAGGCTGCGATGGGGGTGAGGAGAGAGTGAGGATGGGGGGGATATGGGGCACACAGGGGGGTAAAGGGTGAGAGAAATGGGGTGCACAAGACACTGACAGCGTCATCGTCGCCCATGCACAGAAGCTGGGGGAAGAATTAGGGGTCCCCCCAGCACGGATGTGGTGTCCCTGAGCCCCCCAATAAAGGGCTGAGGTGCATGGTACAGGGGGGGGTTGATGGGGGGCTGCAGGGGGTCAGGGATGTGGGAGGCTGCGATGGGGGTGAGGAGAGAGTGAGGATGGGGGGGATATGGGGTGCATGGAGGGGGGATATGGGGCACACAGGGGGGTAAAGGGTGAGAGAAATGGGGTGCACAAGACATTGAGAGCATCATGTTCACACATGCACGGAAACCGGTGGAAGGATGAGGGGTCCAGTGTCCCCCCCAACACTGAGCCCCCCCAATAAAGGCCTGAGGTGCATGGTACAGGGGGGTGTTGGGGGGGGCTCTGTGGGGTGTCAGGGATGGGGGAGGCTGTGATAGGGGTGAGGAGAGAGTGAGGATGGGGGGGATATGGGGCACACAGGGGGGTAAAGGGTGAGAGAAATGGGATGCACAAAACACAGCATCATCATTGCCCATGCACAGAAGCTGGGGGAAGAATTAGGGGTCCCCCCCAGCACGGATGTGGGGTCCCTTGAGCCCCCCAGTAAAGGCCTGAGGTGCATGGTACAGGGGGGTGTTGATGGGGTCGGGGGGCTCAGGGATGTGGGAAGCTGCAATGGGGGTTAGGAGGGAGTGAGGATGAGGGGGATATGGGGTGCATGGAGGGGGAAAATGGGGCACACAGGGTGAGAGAAATGGGGTGCAGAAGGCACTGACAGCATCACCTTTGCCCGTGTGCAGAAGCCACTGGAAGAATGAGGGTCCCATGACCCCCCAGCACCCCAAAACACTGATGCGGGGCCCCCAGTGCCCCCAAATAAAGCCCGAGGTGCACGGTACAGGGGGGTGTTGGTGGTGGGGGTGTGCAGGGTTACCCACAGGGGCTGGAGGGGTCAGGGGGGCTGCAGTGGGGGCTAGGGAGGGAGTAAGGATGGGGTGGGCAGTGAGGGGGATATGGGGTGCACAGGGTAAGAGAAACGGGGTGCAGGATGTGGTGGTTGTGGGGTGCACAGCACAGATATGGGGTGCAATGGGAGGGGGGGGCACAGTGGGAACAAGAGCCCAGCCCAGGTTGGATTTGAACTCACCTTTATTCACATCCCACAAAACACTCAGGTTTGGGGGGGGGGGGGGGGCACAGACCCTTTGACAAGGGGGGCCCCAAGGCACCGCTCCAGCCCCACACATCACACACAGCCCCCCACATCCCCCTGCAAAAGCCGGCCAGCAGCCAGCAGGGCCCCCCCCCACCCCAAGGGAGATGTGGGGCACAGGGGGGGGTGTGGGGAGAAGAACAAACCTCAGAAGGCAACCGGGGGCCGGAGGGGGGGGGAGCAGGGGGGGTGCTTGGCACAGGGCAGGATCTGGGGGGGCACAAAGGGCCACATGTGCCCCCCCCCCCCCCAGCTCTAATCCGCTTTGAGGAGGTCGGAGTTGGCCTTGAGGAGGTAGAGGCTGTCGTCCATCAGGAAACTGGGGGGACGGAAGAGGGGGGGCTCCCACCAGCACCCATGGGCAGGGAGGGAGCCCCCAGCACCCCGAGGTTAAGAGGGGGGTACCCAGCACCCAATGCGGCAAAGAGAGGGGCTCCCGGCGCCCCGATGTCTAAAGGGGGGGCACTCAGCACCCCTGTAGCAAAGAGAGGAGCTCCCAGCACCCCAATATCAAAGGGGGGGCACTCAGCACCCCATGCACTAAAGAGAGGGGCTCCCAGCACCCCAATACCAAAGGGGCACACTCGGCACCCCTACAGCAAAGGGATGGGCTCCCAGCACCCCAATATCAAAGGGGGGGCACTGAGCACCCCATGCACCAAAGAGAGGGGCTCCCAGCACCCCAGTGTCAAAAGGGGGGGCACTGAGCATCCCTATAGCAAAGAGAGGGGTCTCAGAACCCCAATATCAAAGGGGGGGCACTGAGCATCCCTATAGCAAAGAGAGGGGTCCCAGCACCCCAATATCAAAGGAGGGCACTCAGCACCCCATGCACCAAAGAGGGGGGCTCCCAGCATCCCAGTGTCAAAAGTGGGGCACTGAGCATCCCTATAGCAAAGAGAGGGGTCCCAGCACCCCAATATCAAAGGGGGGGCACTGAGCATCCCTATAGCAAAGAGAGGGGACCCAGCACCCCAATATCAAAGGGGGGCACTGAGCACCCCATGCACCAAAGAGAGGGGCTCCCAGCACCCTGATGTCAAAAGGGGGGCACTCAGCACCCCTATAGCAAAGAGAGGGGCTCCCAGCACCCCAATATCAAAGGGGGAGCACTCAGCACTCCCCTTTCAAGGGGGGGGATGCGCTCCCAGCACCCCAATACCAAGGGGGGGGCACTGAGCACCCCATGCACCAAAGAGAGGGGCTCCCAGCACCCCAGTGTCAACGGGGGGGCACTCAGCACCCCCCTTTCAAGGCGGGGATGGGCTCCCAGGACCCCAATACCAAAGGGGGGGGTACTCAGCACCCCCCTTTCAAGGCAGGGATGGGCTCCCACACCCCAATACCAAAGGGGGGGTACTCAGCACCCCCCTTTCAAGGCAGGGATGGGCTCCCACACCCCAATACCAAAGAGGGGGCACTGAGCACCCTATGCACCAAAGAGAGGGGCTCCCAGCACCCCAATACCAAAGGGGCGCACTCAGCACCCTCCTTTCAAGGGGGGGCTCCCAGCACCCCAATAGCAAAGGGGGCACACTCAGCACCCCTACAGCAAAGGGATGGGCTCCCACACCCCAATACCAAAGGGGGGACACTCAGCACCCCCCTTTCAAGGCAGGGATGGGCTCCCAGTACCCCAATACCAAAGGGGGCGCACTCAGCACCCCCTTTTCAAGGCAGGGATGGGCTCCCACACCCCAATACCAAAGGGGGGGGCACTCAGCACCCCATGCACCAAAGAGAGGGGCTCCCAGCACCCCAGTATCAAAGGGGGGGCACTCAGCACCCCATGCACTAAAGAGAGGGGCTCCCAGCACCCCAATACCAAAGGGGCACACTCGGCACCCCTACAGCAAAGGGATGGGCTCCCAGCACCCCAATATCAAAGGGGGGGCACTGAGCACCCCATGCACCAAAGAGAGGGGCTCCCAGCACCCCAGTGTCAAAAGGGGGGGCACTGAGCATCCCTATAGCAAAGAGAGGGGTCCCAGAGGGGGGGCACTGAGCATCCCTATAGCAAAGAGAGGGGTCCCAGCACCCCAATATCAAAGGAGGGCACTCAGCACCCCATGCACCAAAGAGGGGGGCTCCCAGCATCCCAGTGTCAAAAGTGGGGCACTGAGCATCCCTATAGCAAAGAGAGGGGTCCCAGCACCCCAATATCAAAGGGGGGGCACTGAGCATCCCTATAGCAAAGAGAGGGGACCCAGCACCCCAATATCAAAGGGGGGCACTGAGCACCCCATGCACCAAAGAGAGGGGCTCCCAGCACCCTGATGTCAAAAGGGGGGCACTCAGCACCCCTATAGCAAAGAGAGGGGCTCCCAGCACCCCAATATCAAAGGGGGAGCACTCAGCACTCCCCTTTCAAGGGGGGATGCGCTCCCAGCACCCCAATATCAAAGGGGGGCACTGAGCACCCCATGCACCAAAGAGAGGGGCTCCCAGCACCCCAGTGTCAACGGGGGGGCACTCAGCACCCCCCTTTCAAGGCGGGGATGGGCTCCCAGGACCCCAATACCAAAGGGGGGGGTACTCAGCACCCCCCTTTCAAGGCAGGGATGGGCTCCCACACCCCAATACCTCAGCACCCCCCTTTCAAGGCAGGGATGGGCTCCCACACCCCAATACCAAAGAGGGGGCACTGAGCACCCTATGCACCAAAGAGAGGGGCTCCCAGCACCCCAATACCAAAGGGGCGCACTCAGCAACCACCTTTCAAGGGAGCGCTCCCAGCACCCCAATAGCAAAGGGGGCACACTCAGCACCCCTACAGCAAAGGGATGGGCTCCCACACCCCAATACCAAAGGGGGGACACTCAGCACCCCCCTTTCAAGGCAGGGATGGGCTCCCAGTACCCCAATACCAAAGGGGGCGCACTCAGCACCCCCTTTTCAAGGCAGGGATGGGCTCCCACACCCCAATACCAAAGATGCACCAAAGAGAGGGGCTCCCAGCACCCCAGTATCAAAGGGGGGGCACTCAGCACCCCATGCACTAAAGAGAGGCTCCCAGCACCCCAATACCAAAGGGGCACACTCGGCACCCCTACAGCAAAGGGATGGGCTCCCAGCACCCCAATATCAAAGGGGGGGCACTGAGCACCCCATGCACCAAAGAGAGGGGCTCCCAGCACCCCAGTGTCAAAAGGGGGGGCACTGAGCATCCCTATAGCAAAGAGAGGGGTCCCAGAACCCCAATATCAAAGGGGGGGCACTGAGCATCCCTATAGCAAAGAGAGGGGTCCCAGCACCCCAATATCAAAGGAGGGCACTCAGCACCCCATGCACCAAAGAGGGGGGCTCCCAGCATCCCAGTGTCAAAAGTGGGGCACTGAGCATCCCTATAGCAAAGAGAGGGGTCCCAGCACCCCAATATCAAAGGGGGGGCACTGAGCATCCCTATAGCAAAGAGAGGGGACCCAGCACCCCAATATCAAAGGGGGGCACTGAGCACCCCATGCACCAAAGAGAGGGGCTCCCAGCACCCTGATGTCAAAAGGGGGGCACTCAGCACCCCTATAGCAAAGAGAGGGGCTCCCAGCACCCCAATATCAAAGGGGGAGCACTCAGCACTCCCCTTTCAAGGGGTGGGTTGCGCTCCCATCACCCCAATTCCAAGGGGGGGGCACTGAGCACCCCATGCACCAAAGAGAGGGGCTCCCAGCACCCCAGTGTCAACGGGGGGGCACTCAGCACCCCCCTTTCAAGGCGGGGATGGGCTCCCAGGACCCCAATACCAAAGGGGGGGTACTCAGCACCCCCCTTTCAAGGCAGGGATGGGCTCCCAGCACCCCGATACCAAAGGGGCGCGCTCAGCACCCCCGTTTCCACCCCCCTGACCTGTAGAAGAGGACGTTGAGCGGGATGGTGCCGATGTGCCAGAGCGCGTGGGCATCCAGCACCCAGAGCAGCGGGGGGAAGTCGAGCAGCTCCAGCAGCGCCAGCGCCTGCAGCAGCAGCACCACGGCCGCGCACTTCCAGACGTGGGGCAGGCGCGGGCGGTTCCGCAGGCACCACCGCAGCCACCAGGCCACGTTCAGCAGCCCTGGGGGGGGGACGGGACACACAGAGGGGAATAGGGGGTGATCCCCCCCACATACACCCCATATATATGTATATAGGGGGGACCCCCCCATAGCGCAGGGCTCACCGATGCCCGCGTTCGCTGCCATGTTGTAGCCGTAGTCGAAGCGGACGAGGCTCAGGTAGGAGATGTGGCAGGCGAGGAAGAGCAGGAGGAAGGCTCGGAAGATGCTGATTAAGGCTGGGCGCTGCAGCCCCAGTGTCCTGGGGGGGGAAAGGAGGAGGAGGAGGAGGAAGGGGGCACTTCCATGGTCAGAGGGAGCCCCCCCCTCAGCATCCAAGGTTTGAAAGGGAGAACCCCAGCACCCCCATATTGAGTAGGAGGCCCCCCAGCATCCCCATATTAAGAAGGAGCCCCCCAGCATCCCCATATTGAGAAGGAGGCCCCCCAGCATCCCCATATTAAGGAGCCCCCCAGCACCCCCATATTGAGAAGGAGCCCCCCAGCATCCCCATATTGAGAAGGAGCCCCCCAGCACCCCATATTAAGGAGCCCCCCAGCACCCCCATATTGAGAAGGAGCCCCCCAGCACCCCCATATTGAGAAGGAGCCCCCCAGCACCCCATATTAAGGAGCCCCCCAGCACCCCCATATTGAGAAGGAGCCCCCCAGCACCCCCATATTGAGAAGGAGCCCCCCAGCACCCCCATATTGAGAAGGAGCCCCCCAGCATCCCCATATTAAGGAGCCCCCCAGCATCCCCATATTAAGGAGCCCCCCAGCATCCCCATATTGAGAAGGAGCCCCCCAGCACCCCCATATTGAGAAGGAGCCCCCCAGCACCCCCATATTGAGAAGGAGCCCCCCAGCATCCCCATATTAAGGAGCCCCCCAGCATCCCCATATTAAGAAGGAGCCCCCCCATATTAAGGAGCCCCCCAGCACCCCCATATTAAGGAGCCCCTCAGCACAACCATACTAAGAAGGAGCCCCCCAGCACCCCCATATTAAGAAGGAGCCCCCCCAGCCCCCCCACATTAAGAGGCACCCCCCCTGCACTGTGCAGCACTCACCTGACGCAGCACAGGTACACGGAGTGCAGGACAACGGCCGAAGCACAGAAATAGTCCAGTTTCTGTGGAATGGGACAGGATGGGATGGATGGGATGGATGGGATGGGATGGATGGGATGGACGGGATGGATGGGATGGGATGGGATGGGATGGGATGGGATGGGATGGGATGGATGGGATGGGGATGGGATGGATGGGATAGGACGGGATGGGATGGATGGGATGGATGGGATGGATGGGATGGATGGGATGGATGGGATGGGGATGGGATGGGGATGGGATGGATGGGATAGGACGGGATGGGATGGATGGGATGGATGGGATGGGGATGGATGGGATGGGATGGGATGGATGGGATGGGATGGGATGGATGGGATGGGGATGGATGGGATCGACAGGATGGGATGGATGGGATGGGACGGGATGGGATGGATGGGATGGGATGGGACGGGATGGATGGGATGGATGGGATGGATGGGATGGGACAGGATGAGATGGATGGGATGGGATGGATGGGATGGGGATGGATGGGATGGGGATGGATGGGATGGGACAGGATGGGATGGATGGGATGGGGATGGATGGGATGGGACAGGATGGGATGGATGGGATGGGACAGGACGGGATGGGATGGATGGGATGGGATGGATGGGGATGGGATGGGACGGGATGGATGGGATGGATGGGATGGATGGGGATGGGATGGGGATGGGATGGGACAGGACGGGATGGGATGGATGGGATGGGGATGGGGATGGGATGGGGATGGATGGATGGGATGGATGGGATGGATGGAGATGGATGGATGGGATGGGACAGGATGGGATGG